TTGTTCCCCAGCCATGGTACACAGTCCATGCAGTCCCTGGCTAGCAGGGTGATTTTTAGGTTAATTCTTAGGTCCTACCACCACTCGGGAATCTCCAAGCCATCTGTGCTGTTTGTTCCATCAGGGTTGCTCAGTTGGCTGCCAGACCGCAGCTCCGTGCGTCTCCTTTTTTGGTATTTTCACACAAATTCTTCTGGTAGTTGGGGTTTAGTCCACTTCTGTATCCTTCCCTTCAAGGCTCAGGGGTCCAAGATTATCTTCTGTGTCTGTGTTAATTGGTTTCCCTTTTCTTTGCTGAAGAGGGTCTGTGCAGTCCTTCTGTCTAGTCCACCATCTTGCCACTCTAGAATTTCTTTAAAAAAGCAACATATCCTTTTTGAGGAACATAATTCAGTCCATAACACTCATTGAAAGCAATCAGGCATTCATTGTTTTAGCACACACCCACCTGGACAAAAACGTTTCAGCTAATGTTTCTGAGTTTAAGATATTTCTGTCTGGTGGAGAACTTTAGAGTCAAACTACCCATGGTAAAATCCTGGGCATTTTCCCTTTGGAGAAATTTCCTTGTGTCTCCATTTCCTTATTTGCCAAATCAAGGTAAAAATACTGTTTATCTCCTAAAGTGTCTTGTGGATCTAAAGAGGGAATACCTGCCTAGCTTAAAGCAGTGTCTCATACCTAGTAAGCATTCAATAAATGTCATTTATTGTCATTGCCCAACATAGTGAGTTTCACAGGTCCTTCTTCATTACTTAAGTTTATTAACAGCTGTAGGGTAACCATCAATACTGGGAGTGGTTGTATCTGCTACATTTTTTACTTTGTAAACATAAGGAGTTGAATAGAATATTTTACACACTATACATGTGTGTATTATTTATTTCTGGAGTTCAGAGTCTGCTTGCTCTTATTATTATAGTTGTTGTTTGTTGCTTTTAAGTTAGCTCTGATTCATAGTGACCCTATGTATGAGTGAGGTATTGCCCAGTCCTGCACCATCTTCATGGTTATTGGTATGTTTGAATGCATTGTTGCGGTCACTATGGTTTTTGAGTGCCTTCAGAACTCATATCCCAGGATTATATTGAACATTATTCTGCTGTAATCCATAGCTTTTCACTGGCTGAATTTTGGAAGCAGATAGCTAGCCCTTTCTTCCTAGCCTGTCTTAGTCTGGAAGTACTATTGAAATCTGTCCACCATAATGACCCTGTTGATATTTGAAATACTGACAGCATAGCTTCCAGCATCACAGCAATAGATAAGCCACTATTTCTAACAAACTGACAGATGGGTGGTAATTTATTATAATAGTCTAGAATTATTACAATAGCTACAAGCAGAAACACTTATTCATAACAAAAAAAATATTCCTCTGGAAAGTCTTAGTTTAAATATTAGAACTAATCTTTAATTACAACTGTGAGATGTTGGGATATGTCCCAACTGTTTCCCTCTACTTGACTGCACTGACATCTTGGTGGGTGTAAAAGGAAAAAGAAAGAGCTCTTTTTGTAACTGAGCCTACTGTATGAATAATTCAAAATTAAAAAGACCCTTATTCCATGAAGTAGTACATTTTATAAAAAGAATTGTTTGATTTGAATTTCCTTGAATATTGCATCTATACTCCCATCTCACTTCAATTGTGTAAGTTCAACTTCACTGGCATTTCTTAAGCTATTTCCAATTTTGTAGCTGAATGGTTTCTAAAGTCTTGTCAAAATATCTGTCATTGATTATCTCATTTATTCATCAGATATTTACTGAGCTCCTACTACATTCAAAATAATTTGTTCAAGAAGAAACTTACCCTCAGGATTAAAAGACTTATTGAAATTCAATATCAGTCATTATGAAGTCTTTCTTAGTGCAGCAGGCTACTCATCACCGATAACTACTATGGCCAGGTCATATTCTCAAGAATTTGGGATTCACATGGTATTCAAATGTCCATTTATTTAACAGTTTATTCATTTGAAGCACTGTATGATCCAGACACTATTTTAGGTGCTAGGAATTAAATGTTGACTAAGACAGACTAGGTCCCTATTCTGAAGGATGACATTTTGGCTGAAGAGAAAAACATTAGGCAAGGTAACAAATAGGACAATTACAGACTAGAATAACTGCTATCTAGAAAATAAATGGAATCTCAGCCTGGTGCAGATGGTTTATGTGCTTGGCTGCTAACTGAAAGATTGGAGGGTTGAGTTTACCCAGGTGCACCTCAGAAGAAAGGCCTGGTGCACTACTTAGGGCTGGGCATGGTAAATGGGGAGTGAAACTAAATGTACATGTAACATTGGATGTAAAGCAAATTCTTAAAATAAAAATAAAACCCTGTGGATCTCATTTCTACTCTGACACACATGGGGTCTCCATGAGTCATAATGAACTTAGTAGTGACTAGTTTGTTAGGTTTTTGCTTCAGAAAGTAGGTAAAGTGTATATAATGTAGTATAACTTGCAGAGGGGTGGACTACTTTAAATAAACATTTATCTAAACTACTGTGAAGTAACATTTTAATTAAGACCAACCACAAAAAAGAGACAAAGTTGGAATATACAAAAGTTAAGCAGAAAAAAAAAAGTTTCTTTCTCTCAAAAAAGAAAAAGAAAAAAAAAAAAAAAAACCTCACTGCTGTCCAACTTGTAGCGACCTCTCCTTGGGTTTCTGAGGAAGTGTCACTATGGAAGGAGATTGCCCAATCTTTGTTCTGAGGAGTGGCTAGTGGGTTTGAATCACCAGCGTTCTGGTTAGCAGTCAAATGCCTTAGGCACTATGCCAACCAGAGCTCCCTCTTACTCTCAAGGAAGCTGTATTCTACAGATAAATCAAAACTCATAATATTTACATTAAACATGGATTTTTGCATCAAAAAATTTAATAAATCCTTTTTTCTTCTGTAATTATAGTGGTGATTTAAAAATGATTTTAAATGTAATCATTCCCATTAACAGTAATACTTTCATTAACACTAAAGCAAAAGTTAAAACGTGTGTTTGTTTGTTTTCAATAGCAGTCTACATAGTAATAGTGCTTTGGACAAAGATTTTTTAAAGAATCAAAAATTAGAAGCTGATCAGGGAGCTTTCATTTGCTACTCAAATGTTTAAGCTGGTATTTAATTAATAAAATAAATGCTCCAAGATTATTGGTGTTGTGTGCCATTGAGTTGATATTGACTCATAGCAATCCTACAGGATAAATTGGAACTGCCTAATAAGTGGTGTATTGGTTATTAAAGCATTAGACTATTAACCAAAAGGTTGGCAATTTGAACCCACCAGCTGCTCTGTGGGAGAAAGATATGTCAGTCTGTTTCCTTAAAGATTTACAACCTTGGAAACCTATGGGGGCAGTTCTATAAGGTCTCTATGAGTCAGAACCAACTTGATGGCAGTAGATTTGGTTTTTGGAATCTTTACAGGAGCAGATAGCCAGGTCTTTTCTTCCACAGAGCCACTGGGTAGGTTTGAACCTCCAGACTTTTGGTTGGCAGCTGCGTGCTCAACAATAACAACACCAGGGCTCCTTACTCTAAAATAATGGTCTCTATTCATTGCCCAAAGTGTTTTAGAAAATATCATTAATATGGGCTTTTCACCATTTCAGAGCTCTGGTAGCATAGTGCCTAAAGCATTTGACTGCTAAACAGAAGGCTGGAGGTTCAAATCTATCAGCCACTCCTTGGAAGGAAGGTTGGGCAATCTACTTCTGTAGTGACACCACCTCAGAAACCCAAGAAGGAGTCGCTATGAGTTGGATCCGACTCAATTGGCAGTGCATGCATTTATTTTACCATTTAAAAATATTATTCTTGTAGTATTTGTGAAGCAGACTTTTCTAATGTCAGGAGAAAATATTTTCATTATAAAAATTACACCCATATTATTGCTCATGATGGCTTTATTTGTGAAGAAGGATAGACCAAAGGGAGTGTTGTCTGCCCTGTGTAGCTGACTGCCCAGAGGTAAGAGGAAGAGTATGGGCTGGTTGATGTTTGGAGAAAAGAATTCCCTGGAAAGAGGGAGGTTGGGCCTCCAGGGAAAAACATCTTAAAAGTTACTAATCTTGGGTTCTTGGTCTTCATTGTGTTAAGGTCACTCCAAAGAGAAGACTATCCAACAAACATAAGCAGAGTTAAATATATATATATATATATATATATATATATATAAAGTAAGTAGAAAAAAGTAGCTGGTATGTCTGAATTACTTAGTTGGTATTGGTAAAAATGAAAATTGTGCTAGGTTTATTCATAATTCTTTTGATAGAGATCATTCTGTTCCCCCTCTTCCTCCCTCTTCTTCTCCTCCCCTTTTTCTTTCCTTCTTTTTTTCCTTCTCCTTCAGCAGTTTTAATCATGCTTCCATAATGTACTTAATCACAATGAGCATCATTGGTTCCATTAAGTCACAGTACTTGGGGCATAGTTATGTAAATTTTATATTAATTTTTGTTGATTCACATAATGATTTCTAGTAAGCCTTTTAATTTTCTTTTTTTTTCACAAAAGTTGGCTCTTGTTAAATTCAATGGCTAGGTTGGAAGTATTTAGTTATATATTGCAAACAACTACTAATTTTTATTGCCAGAGCTTTAGGTCTGATAGAGCTGTTAATAAGTGAAAATATGAATAAGTGCTCATGCTATAAATGGACAATTTAGCTCTTCTGAAAACCGTCAATATCAAACCAGCTTCTGAAATTAGATAATTCATATTGTCAGCTAATTTTACTAATTTATTCCATAGCATATGCATGTTGTCAATAAACAGAGACTTTTGAGCTTCATTGTTCTATACAAAAAGATGTAATATAATATTCATTTATAATTTGATGATCTGCTTAAATTAATATCATCTCCCCATAAATGGGCCTTTGTAACCAAAGGTGTCAAAACCCACATTAAAACATGTTGCAGCCATGTTAATAACACTAATGGATTTGTGTGTGTGTGTGGTTTTGTTGGTGTTGGTCACTTCTTCCAGATGTGGATGTTATCGAGTGCTCCTTGCAGTTCCCAGATGATGACTATTCCTGGTGGGACCTCTTCATGAAGCTCTGCGTCTTTGTCTTTGCTTTTGTGATCCCTGTCCTCATCATCATCGTCTGCTACACCCTGATGATCCTACGCCTGAAGAACGTACGACTTCTCTCTGGCTCCCGAGAGAAGGATCGCAACCTCCGCCGGATCACCAGGTTGGTCCTGGTGGTGGTGGCTGTCTTCGTAGTCTGCTGGACCCCTATTCATATCTTCATCCTCGTGGAGGCTCTGGGAAGTACCTCCCACAGCACTGCGGCTCTCTCCAGCTACTACTTCTGCATTGCCTTGGGCTATACCAACAGCAGCCTGAACCCCATTCTCTATGCCTTCCTTGATGAGAACTTCAAGCGGTGTTTCCGGGATTTCTGCTTTCCCATAAAGATGAGGCTGGAGCGCCAAAGCACTAGTCGAGTGAGAAATACAGTTCAGGATCCTGCTTACATGCAGGATGTGGATGGGATAAATAAGCCAGTATGACTAGTCGTGGAGATGTCCTCATATAATTCTACAGAAAGGGAAGAGTTCAATGATCTAGGCTCAACTCAGATTACAACCTCAGTCTGAGATAGAGAGGGGATTTTTAACAAACTTTAGAAATCTTATGGTATGAAGTCAGCTCTGGGTAGCCCGGGTGAGTGGAAGGCCAGAGGGACTGAAACAAAAGATTGACCAAGCAAGTGCAAGCCCTTTCTAGGGTAGGAAAGCAAGTCTGACTCCAAGTTCTTAGTGAACAAAGAAACAAACCTTTTCATTCTAGCTACATAGCTCTGATTCAGCACCCTTCTGCTGTGGCCTTCATATGCAGTGTGGTTTCTAAAGCTCTGTTTAGAAAAAGACAAAGAAAACATTGGTTTCAGAGCTTACTGAACATCCAAATGAGATGCTGTACATTGACTACAGCAACCTTAGAAGAGTGATAACTATTTCTGGAGCTTTGCCCAGATTTATACTCTTTGGGCTAGCATTCCATGTAGCTGTGTGTGGAAAATTCCAGTTTACATGCATCTGGGACCCACAACTGAGATGTCTGATGTTCCTGTGTAATAGAACATTATCTTGATATTGATGAAACTATTTACACATGTTAAAGTTGATTTCTAACAGTTTACTTTTTTGATAACTACTGATTTTTTAGCATGTTATTCTCATAAATAATCTCCTGAAAAAGCATGTCCAAATGTCAAATAACATACTTTAAATGCCACAGTAAATATTTCTAATTTAATCTGTAAATATAGTACATTAGTAGATAAGGAATGGGCTTCCTTCTAGCCAAACTACTTCCTGAGGGCCTGCTAATGATCTTCTTTGGTTATTTAAAGTTGCTGTTGAAATGTTTTCCATCCACCTCAGTTGCTCCTTGGTGCCATTGCTCTGACTCCCAAGCACCATTTAGTGCTTTACCAGTGCTTGTAACTCACAGGTCCATGTGTCCAGCTCACTTCCAGGCTGCGGCTCCAGGCAGAATCTAGTTTATTTGCAGCATCTCTTTATGAATATGGGGTTATTACCACATTCTCTGTATCCATGGAGGATAAGTCATTTTGCTTAGATAGATCTCAAGATATTATTTTGTGGCTTTCCAGCAGAAAGTAAAATTGCCATCGATGCGGGTAGAACAAGGACATTATGCCACTCACACTGCCAGGACATACCTTGAACTGTGTTCTGCAAAGAGCACACCTGCTAGGGATGATGCCATGATGATGCCATTTAGGGTAATTTTGCTAAAAATTACAGATGACATATCAGTTCTCAGCCCTCCTTTTTTTTTTTTTTTTTTTTTTTTCCCTCCTGTAACTTATGGTTTCAGAGGTAATAGCTTTCTCTGTAATTTGCCTCAGCAGTAGAAACGGATAATTTAGAAATAACACCTATCTCTTCTCAAAGCCTATATGTTATGAGGGCAACACCCTCTGGAATTTAATAGGAAAATCGAATATATAGACCTGTAGAGCTCTAGACATCATTACATTATAAATTCTTTTCACACTGTGTTTTGTTTTTCATGCATATACTCTCTTTTTGAAAACAAAACCTTGCACTGAAGGATTTACATATGGCTTCAGAATATTACTATGATAATTTTTAGATTTTCATGGCAACTAATATAGATGACTTAAGGCAGTGTAGAAAAAGTGTTTTCCTATTGAAAATAACATGCTCTTTTGAGCAGTTCTTAAATTTCATTGAAATTTTTTGGTGTCCTTGTATTCTTAGAACTATATGTAAACAGGAATGGTTTAAAAGTTTAACCTTAATCTATAATTAAAAAATGTTGGCAAACATACAGGAGGAATATCTGTATATAAAAAGAGTAGTTTCAGGACCAAAACCTATTGAAACATTTATGGAACAAAAACAACAACAACAACAACAACAAAGGAGATTTCTTTGTGGATTATTATACACAATAAAAATATAACAGAAGTACAATCATGGATCAAAATTGTAGTAATATTTTCTCTTTAAATTAGCACCCTACATGCCTACATGGGATTATTTACAATTATTGGAATTTGACCTTTTGCCTGATCATCCTGCCTCTCTTCATATCTAAGTTTTCAGCCAAAAAAAAAAGAAAGAAGAACCCTATGAATGCCCATAAAGAATGTTCTAAATTATCTGGTTATTGTTAACACCCATTTCCTCAAACTAAAAGAGGACAGATGATGGGACTATCATTTCACGTCACTGCCCTAACGGAATATAGATGGTGAATATACACGTGCATCTCTCCAGATGGAATACACAGGAAATAAATCGACTACCTCTATGGAAAGAGACAAAGGAGAAGTTCAATATCATCAGTAAGAGCAAGTCCAGGGCTGACTGTGGAGTAGATCATCAATTGCTCCTATGCAAGTTCAAATTGAAGATGAAGAAATTTAAACAAGTCCACGAGAACCAAAGTACAACCTCAAGTCTATTCCACCTGAATTTAGAGTTCATCTAAAGATTAGATTTGATGAATTGAACACTAAAGACCAAAGACCAGACCAGTTGTGGGATGACATCAAGGATATCAGAAACAAAGGGGTCATGAAAAAGACAGGAAAGCAAAAAAGACCAAAATGGATGTCAGAAGAGACTCTGAAACTTGCTCTCAAATGGAGAGGAGCTAAAGTGAAAGGAAGAAACAATGAAGTAAAAGAGCTGAATAGATCATTAAAACAGAGACTCAAGAAAACAAAATAAAGTAGTATAATGAAATGGGCTAAGATCTGGAGCTAGAAAACCAAAAGGGAAGAATATGATCTTCATTTCTCAAGCTAAAAGAACTGAAGAAAACAAATCAAAACTCGAGTTGCAATAATGAAGGATTCTACGGGACAAATATTGAATGATACACGAAGTATAAAAAAAACATGGAAAGAATACACAGAGTCACTGCCAAAAAGAATCGGACAGTGTTCAACCATATCAGAAGGTAGCATATAACCAAGAACTGATGGTACTGAAGGAAGAAATCTGTACTGCAGTGAAGGCATTAACAAAAAACAAGGCTCCAGGGATTGATGGAATACCAATTGAGATACTTCAACAAATGATTGCAGTGCTGGAAATGCTCACTTGTCTATGCCAAGAAATTTGGAAGACAAATACCTGGTCAGCCACATAAAGGATCCATATTTGTGCACATTCCAAAGACGATTATCCAACAGAATGCAAAAATTATCAATATCATTAATATCACACATAAGTAAAATTTTGCTGATGATAATTAAAAAATTTTGCAGCAGTACATCAACAGGAAACTGCCAGAAATTGAAACCACATTCAGAAGAAGGCATGGAATGAGGAAAATCATTGGTGATGTCAGGTTGATCTTGGCTGAAAACGAGAGCATACCAGAAAGATTTTTGTCTGTGTTTTATTGACTGTGCAAAGGCATTTGACTGTGTGGATCATAGCCAATTATGGATAACATTGCAATCAATGGAAATTCCAGAACACTTAATCGTGCTCACAGGGAACATGTGCATAGAGCAATAGTCAGTTGTTTTGAATAGAACGAGAGGATACTGCATATTTTAAAATCAGGTAAGGTGTGTGTCAGGGTCCTTTCACTATATTTACTCAGTCTGAATGTTAAGCAAAGAATCTGAGAAGCATAACTATATGAAGAAGAACAAGACATCAGGATTAGAAGAAGCCTCATTAACAACTTACAATATACAAATGACACAACTTTCCTTGCTGAAAGTAAAGAGGACTGGAAGTTCTTACTGATGAAGATACAAGACTATACCTTTTAGTATGGATTACACCTCACCATAAAGAAAACAAAAATCCTCACAACTAGACCAATAAACAACCTTATAATAAATAGAGGGGAAAAAAATGTAGTTCTCAATAATTTAATTTTACTTACATCCACAATCAGTGCCCATGGAAACAGCAGTCAGGACATGAAAGCACATATTGCATTGGGCATATCTTCTGCAAAAGATCTCTTTAAAGTGTTAAAAAACAAAAAAACAAAAGATGTCATTTTGAGGACTATGGTGTACCTGACCCAAGTCGTGTGGTATTTTCAATTGCCTGATAAGCATAAGAGAGCTGGAGAGAGAAAAATTGATGCTTTTGAACTATGCAGTTGGTGAAGAATATTGAATATACCATGGACAGCCAGAAAAACAAACACATTTGTCTGTGAAAAAGTACCGCCCAAATGCTCCTTAGAAGTGGGGATCATGAGACTTCATCTCCTGTACTTTGAACCTGTTATCAGGAGAGACAAATCTCTGGACAAAGACATCATGCTTGATAAAGAAGAGGGTCAGCAAAAAAGAGGAAGAACTTTAACAAGATGGATTGACATTGTGACTGCAACAATAAGCTCAAACATAGCAACGATTGTGAGGATAGTGCAGGACTGGTCATTGTTTCTTTCTGTTGTACCATGAGTCAGAGCTGACTCAATGTCATCTAACAAGGACAATGCTGTACAGAACGAATGATAATGTGATTTACTTAGGAAAAATACAACTTAAAATACACATATGTTGTCAAAAGTGAGTGAGAGTATATGTGTGTGTGTGTGCATGCACTTCCATGAGGCAGTGGTCATATTTGCCATTATTTCATCATTACAGACAATACATTGGTCTACACTCAATTCCCTTTACTCATGTTCAGCAAAGAGGACAATCTCTGCTGTGTCTCCTGAGACCAGAACTCTATATGTTTAATTTTGTGATCAACTCCCTGACATCAATTCCATCTTCCCACCCTCGTAACAACTGTGACAAAGGACCCAGTGAAGAGTATGAAAAAGTGTGGAAGAACGAAGCAGCAATGAATGTGACGCAGCGGTGAGTGTGAAACATAGAATCTGTAGCTGGGAAAAGAGCATAGTGACTGTTAGAATCTAATTACCTCTGAGGAATCTAAGAGCATTCCCTGTGTAAAGAGTTGAAGCCAAAATTCCAGGCTAAGTAATAAAAAGGAAGCAAAGTTTTTGGGGAAAAAAAGCAAAGAAATTTCACAGAAGTCT